GCCCAGATATGATATTATTAGCTAGTAGTTCTAAAGCGTCTATTATAATTATCTTGGGGTTGAAACCTCAAATGCGTAGGGAGGCGCCTGTGGAAATGGCAACCTGGTCTAACAGGGGACGGTGAGGACTCCTGGCACATGGCGAGCAGGGAGAGTGCCTGCCTGTTGAAAAAAATTCAAAATCAGATGCTTCTGTCATCCTGTGCCTCCCGAACAAAGCGAAAATATGAGCCAAGCTTAGCTGGTGGGCTGCTAGCTTCCAACTTCTGTCCACCTTTATCGTGCTTGTCCACGATCACTCTTATGTCCCTGAGGTCGAAGGCGAGTTAATGGCTAATCCCTAAGCTGTCTAAGAAGGCAAAGACATCCAAGTCAGAGCTCACCGTCTCCCTTCCCTTCCAGACTCCACTGATGCTTCTCCTTTCCAAACTTGATGTTCTCCACAGCCTGAGCCACAGCTTCTTTGAGTTGCAGTTCAGACACCTAGGAAATACGAGTCACCTGCTCATGTAAAACAGCAGAAATGTCTTGCATTGGGCTTTGTCATCATTATGATCATCATCGACATCATTGTCCTCACCATCATCACCATGATCACCATCCCCAAAATCACCACCATCTTCACCATCCCCATCATCATTTTACTGTCACAGGTCACTAATCACCTTAGATTAATAGTTAAGAGTATGACTCTTGGAACCAAACAGACTTATGTTCAAGTCCTAGTTCCTCCGCTTTCTAGTTGTGTACTCTTAGAAAGTTACTTAACCTCCTGAGCCTCAATTTCTTCTTCTGTACAATAACAATAATATAACCTATTTCCCAGTGAGGTCAGAGGGTTTTTAAAAAATAAGCCATTTGACACCAAAAGTACAGGCAACAACAATAAAAATAGATGAATTTGACTATGTCAAAATTAAGATCTGTTCATCAAAGGACACAATCAACCAAACGAAAGGCAACTCATGGAATGGGAGAAAATATTCATATATCTTATAAGGGATTATGATCCAGAATATGTAAAGAACGCCTATAATTCAACAACAACAGCAAAAACCAAACAGCCCAATTTAAAAATGGGCAAAGGACTTGAATAGACTTTTCTCCAAAGAAGACGTACAAATGGCTGGTGAGTTCGAAATCACTCCTCGTTGGGGAAATGCAAATCAAAACCACAATGAGGTCCCGCCTCACACCCATAACATGACTGCTCTCAAAAAAAAAAAACAGGAAACAATAGGTGTTGATAAGGATGTGAGTGCTGCTGCTATAGAAACCAGTATGGCAGTTCCTCAAAAAATTGAAAATAGAATCATCATATGGTCCAGCAGTTTCACTTCTGGACACATACCCAAAGACGATGAAAGCAGGGACTCAAGTAGATATGTGCACACCCACGTTCATAGCAGCGTTATCCACAATAGCCAAAAGTGTCCACGGACAGATAAGCGGATAAATGGACACACAATGAGATATCATGCACACAATGAGATACACACACACACACAATGAGATATCACGCAGGCTTAACGAGGAAGGAAAGGCTGACACCTGCAAGCACGTAGATGAAACCTGAAGACATTTTGCTAAGTGAAACAATTCAGTCACAAAAGGACAAGTACCACATGATTCCACTTATATGAAGTGCATAAGGTCGTCAGAACCACAGAGGCAGAAAGTCGAATGCTGGTTTCCAGGGGCTGGAAGGACGGGGAGACGGCAAGCTGTTTAGTGGACACAGAGTTTCAGCTTTACAAGACGAAAAGACATCTGGAGATGGATGGTGGTGCTGGGGCACAAGGAGGAGAATGTCCTTCACGCCACCGAACTGTACACTTAAGACGGTGAAGATGGTGAATTTACGTTGGATGTGTTTTGCCACAATAAAAATAAAAATAATAATAATAATTCATTTAAAGCACTGGGCACAATACCTAGCAAACGGTAAACTCTGAGTGCAGGGAATTCGTATCAGCAGCCGTCCTGCCAGGTCAAGACCACTCCCCCATTCCAGGGTTGAGGAACGAGAGGCTCTGAGAGGTTAGTTGGATGTCCCAGGTGTCACCAAGAGGGAGGAGCAGAGCTGGACAGGACCAGGCATTGCGCTGTGCGTGCGCACTGGACTCCCCTGTCTGCAGTGCCTTTGCCCCACGCCCTGGCGGTCCTTTCAAGACCTGGCTCCGTCTTCTGGGCCACTGGGACCCTGACTCCCTCACCCCCATGACCCTCACCCCTCATGGCTTCTCTGTGTGCGTGCCCCACCCCTCCAGCCAGAACCAAGGGCCACAAGGCCAGGGGCCCCAGCCTTGGTCCCACACCCAACTCTTCCTCCCCTGCCCTCTCCCCACGGTGCCCAGGGCAGCAAGAGACACTGAGGCCGCTTTCTTTTCTTCTATCTCCAGAGGTTTAGACAAATTACTTGTCTGCCTTCGTAGGAAGTTTGCTTTTCTCTAGAGTGCTCATCCTTAGTGCTCACAGCAGAAGAGAGCTGGGTCTGAATCCCACTACACAAGGTGCATGTGGATCTGGCCTGTGAGTCCATCTCTGTCCTGTTTCCTTGGGGAGTTTGGAGTCTGTTAGTTAAGAGCATAAGCTTTAAAGCCTAGCTTCTTCACATACCAGCTCCACCATGAACCCAGTTCCTCTTTCCCTTCTAAGCCTTGGTTTCCTCCTCTGTGACTTGGAAGGGAGAATCACACTGACCTCAGATGGTTTTTCAACAGGAGAATCACACTGACCTCAGATGGTTTTTCAACAACTAAACGCAATTGCCTGTCACATCTTTCAGCAAAGATGCCTGGCACGTACAAGGATTGCATAAATAGTGATGGTGAGTATCACCAGGTTCCCCAAAGGAACCTCACCAATGCCCACGGCCCCAGCTCCCGAGACTCATTCCGAACTGGACCCCATGCAAGAGCCATTATCAGCCCTGAATCTAACCGCCTACGGACACCCCACAGGCACCTCAATCTCTTTATGCCCCACATGAGACCATTTCTTCCCTCCCAAGCACCCCCTCCTCCTCTTCTCTATACTGCTGGTGCTGCTTCTGACCCGAAAACACCCCAGTCATCTGAGACCACCCGTGCCCCAGGCTCATCAGCCAACAGTACGACCAGTTCTTCCCGAGTTGTCCCCGTGCCCCCTTCTCCATCCTCTTCTCACATCCACTGTGCAGTTTAGGTCCTCGTCATCTGTTTCCTTCCTCTTCCAGACTCCAGGCTGCACCCACCCCACCCCGTCCTCCACCCTGTCCTCCACCGCACCATCAGTGGTTAAAAAATAAAATCTGAACATATTCCATCTACAGCCACAGTCCTCTCCTAGCTCCTCACCCCCACAGAATACGACGTGAACTCTGAGCACCCCATGTGAAGCCCACTACAGGGTCGCTCCAATGTCATGCCCACCTGGATCCTTGGCCTCTCCACCCAGTACCCACATGCCAGCCCCCCGAGAACAAGCCACTCTCCTATGACAGGTCCCTTCATGACTCTACAGATGAAGTTTGTGTCCCCACTTCATGGAATGACCTTCCTCAAATTATTTGCCTGGAACAAGCTAACTTCTGGTATTTCTTGCTTGATCCAACCTTCCTTTCTGTAGCTCTCTATTTGCGGAATACTTATCACTCCGTATTGCAATTATTTCTGTGTCAGTGTCTCTAGCAAGACCGTGAGCTTCCGAGGCAGGACTGTGTGGAAGGGCTTGTTCAGCTCTATCTGCTCAGGGCTGGACAATCACATAACGGGTCCCCACTAGATGCACGGATATGTTGACTGATTCGTGGCATCTCTAGCAGGGATGCTGGGTCTATATTTTCCTGCCCTCGAGCTCGTATCCCAGCTGCAAGAGCTCCCCTAAGCTCATGCCAATTGTCTCTGGTGTCTAGGAGTTTGCCAGTGGACCCCTGCTGCAGACACGTGTTATTACACTCGGAACACGGTCTTGGAAATTCAAGTCCAAACCCAGCCAGCATCACCTGCTCTCATCTATGTCTTGTTCGAAGCTTAGTCCTGAAAGAGTGAGCCTGGGCGGAAGAAGATGCCCCAGTGGCGTGTTACCTGTGGATCTGGATGACGACTGACCATGATGGGGACCGGCCCGGGACTGCAGTGACTCAGGATCGCATAGACTTCGTTGAGCGTCATGCAGCGCACGGGGGAATCATTGATTTCCACGATCTCGTCACCGAACCTGTGAAAGCATACACAGGAAGCCGTCAGCAAGCTAACCAACGTGGCTTTCAGACGCTCCCTTCCCAGAAGTCCCACTCCTGGCAGGGCTGTTCGATGAGACCTAAAAATTACACCAATAAGTAGAGTTCCTTTGCCACCCGACTGACCCTCAGAGGAGGACGGACCAAAGCAGTGCCCTTCTCACCCCCTCACTGCGCAGCCACAGTGGGGGGGATGTTTCATACCCGGGGTGGGACAACGTGAACAAAGGTTAGTCTGTAACCTTCCTCCTCCTTTTCTCCCGTTAAACTAGGCCTAATCGAGATTGAGGGTGTAGGTGAACCAATTTAGGCGATTAACCAATTAACCATGATTTAACCAATCACAACCATTGGGCTTCAGCGTTCCCGTCTGTAGAATGGTTAGGAGGGAAGATGGACGCTTTGTGTGCTAAGAGGTAAAGAATAACTGGACTGGGGAGCAGCTGAAGTTCTTGCAAAAAGAAGTAAGGAGAGAAGGTATGGAGCGCATTCTTACTGTAAGACAGGAAGTGAGTTACGGAAAATTCAGATTTGTTCTGTTACGTAACCAGAAAAAAAAAAAAGTGAGGTAGAAAAGAGGGATGCTTCCATACACAGAGGATGGTGCAATCCAAACCCCTTGTCTCACAGATGGGGAAACTGAGGCACAGAGGGTGAAATCATCTCCTCAATAAGACCTAGCTTAGAGTTAAAAAAGCTTTTTCAGGAGGAGGCCAAACCGTAAATATTTTAGGCTTGGCAGGCCACACTCTCTCTGTCACAACCACCCAGCCCTGATGCTGTAGCATGAAAACAGCAGTCACAATGTGTCAACCGATGAGTGTGGCTGTGTTTCAATAAAACTTTATTTAAAAAAAGAAACCAAGCAGGCGGTGGGCCGCACTTTGCTGAGCTCCGGCCTGGCTGATCATCGGCATGGCGGGGATCGGAACACAGGTGTCCTGGGACTGATGTTGCTGTCCCCCACACTGCGGTCTAGGCCACAGCTGAATAGCCCCACATGCCAAGGAAAGCAGAGACGTCCAGAACAATCCCGACCCAGCTGCAGGTCTGGGCGGGAGGATGCTCTGTCCGAAGGGATTAGGGCTCAGGCCGTTGCTGGGACTCTCATTATGTCCCAAGCGAAAACAGCAGCTCAGCAAATCAGCCGTCACTGCCCTGCTCGCGACAACGGCAAATCCATCCCTAACTCGAATCACTGTCAATACGCTGTCCTGAGCATGGCTTGCCCTTGCATACACTGCAATTGTGGGAAGGAAAACCTTGAAAAATACGGCAAAACTCTCCTGATATAGCAAAACCCAAACCCAGGGAGAGAAGGTATGGGAGAGAAGATACGTGAGCTGGAAGTTATCACAACAAGTTAGACTGGGATAAATGTTACCGAACCCAAATCACTTACTGGAAAGAAAATTTAGATTCAGGGCTCCTCTTAGAAGGTCTTTGTAGCAAAATAAGTCTGCAGTGCCTGCCAATATTTTGTTTCTGCCATCAAGAAACTGAGTTAACACTACTGATTGGCTTGGTAAGCTTCTTTTTCCATACAGGGCACACAGGCAAACCTCACCAGAGCTCCTACGGATGTTGCTATAAATTCCGTATTAGTTAAATCGGAATTAAAGTATGGTCACCTCATGTTTTCTGTTTCGGACTGGAATTCCCTGAGATGCGGCCTCTTGCACTGGGACGTGCACACAGGTCCCTGAGGATCTTACTAAGATGCAGATTCTACTCCAGGAGGTCTGCTGAGAAGCCCTAGATTCTGCATTTCTAACAAACTCCCAAGTGATTCCGATCCCAGTGGTCCAGGGACCACAGTCTGAAGAGCAAGGCTCTGAGCCACGCTTGGGTCATTCTGAATATCTCGTCTCCAGATGAATCTCCTGGCCTTCTAAGGAATTCCTTCCCTCTGCTGTAAGCTTGTACTGATAACAAGCGGTCACCTTGAACTTCTGCAAAGCATCCTGAGTTTTTGTTTTGTTTTGTTTTGTTTTCCCGACAACAGAAACGAGCACATACCGGAGCCGCCCATCCAAATGTGCCACAGATCCGGGAGACAGCGTGTGGACGAAGATTCCAGAGAGGCACTGGAAGTAGGGCACGCTGCACAGGCCGATCCCCAGACCCACGCCAGCCTCTGCCAGGGAGAGCGGGAGAGAGCACGGGGGGCTCGTGACCGAGCTTCAGTGGACCTCAGTTCTCCGGCCACAGGTAAGAGCGCAGGTGCCCGAGGGGGAGCGCCCGCCCCGGATCTCACGGTGCACGAGCTGCTGCCGCGAACCCAGCCCTGCTCCTCGGTGCGCAGTGTTATGTGTGAGACTGGGGCCTGCCTTGCTTGGTCCTATTGTACCCGCTGCACCACAACACCTGGACTGAAGGTGCGTGGAGCGTCCTGGGCTTCTGCACACAGACAGAGGAGCGGCCACAACTTCTCGCAGACGGCACTCCGCCCTGTCCCTGGACTGACTCCCGATGAGGAAAGCCTCGGGGACCCCTCGGGGGTGGGAGGCCCAGGCAGGGGGGCGGCGGAGGAGGGGCGCTGCCACCCTACCTTTCTGCAGGGACACCTCCACCATGACCCTGTAGTTGGGCTTGGCCGCGCCGGAGGGGGGCGCGGGGCTGCCCGGGCCGAAGGAGCTGCAGTCTTTGGTCATACAGGTGCTGGAGCTCAGGGAGCGGCTCAGGGGGGCAGACAGGTGGCTGCTCAGGGAGTGGGGCGCCGTCAGGCGGGTTCTCACCGTGAGGGTCAGGAGCCCTTTTTTGGCTTGCTGAAAGGCAGAGATCGTGTGCTGCAGCGCTCAGCAGCTGCGTGTACCCACACGCATGCGTCTGTATGTGCGTGCATGCATGCGTGCCCACCCGTGTGCACACGTGTGCGTGTGGTAGAATCAACATGCACCTGCATGTCTCTGCACAGATGACACACGACGTGTATTAACACAAATGCGTGTGTGCACACACGTGCCGGAGGCATGCAGTCTTGAACTGATTACACGGAGACTTAAAAACATCTTCTCGTGGTTGCCTTACAAACTTCAAACAGATCTGGAAATCTGTCAACATCAATACGTTGAGCGTTTTAAAACAGTTCTACAAATCTGAAATAGTGGGACCACCCCTGATTACGCTCGTATTTTCTGAGCCAGGTCTTTTTTTTAACACTGCGCCCAGACCCGCACCAGCGGGGCGCCCCACGTCAAGGATCCCACAGTTTGAATTTGCAGGTTTGAGTGAAGGAGCCTCATGCTTGGTTCCTTTGCCCGAAGCCCCGGAGTCTGGCAATGTGCCGATAACAAGCGGTCACCTTGAACTTCTGCAAAGCATCCTGATGTGTGAGTCCAGCCATTGATTCACCGTTGAGTTCCAGAATCTCATCCCCTGTCGGGAGAGCAGAGAGGAGTGTGGCCCGGTGAGGGGTGTCCACGCACACAGCCCGGGAGAAAGACTTCCCAGCCCGGGGCTCTCCCCCTGGGGGGCAGATGGGCAGCAGTGACCAGCCTTCCGAGGCCCTTCCTCTCTTTCAGGGGCCGATCCAGGGTCCTCGGCGGGCACACAAGGCCCGGCCTGACCTGTCCTGCCCACCGTGGGTTCAGCCCCTGCCCTCCTGCCTCCCTGGCCCTCAGGCCATGTGTTCCCAGGGCTCATTCCCAGATGCCTTTCCCACAGCGTGTCTGCGTGCAGAGATTGCTGCCCTGTGTTTCGTCAGCACAGTGCACTGCTCCCACCTTCTTGGCCCGCCTCTCTCACAGCCCCTGACGCCTTTATTTCCCGCATCCTCCACTGTCGCAGCACGGCCCGTGGGTGCTGACCCATGACTCCGGACGTTTTACTGCAAGCCATTCCCTCCCAGATATGCCTAATAGACTCATTTTTTCTGTATCCGGAAATCCATTTTTACAGGGACGGAAAACCCATGTCTCCCCTGCACTAAATGTATTCAACACACAAAGAAGGAGCACTCTCTCTGCATCCAGCGCTGCGCTGGGCATTTCAGATGCAAGGACAGTTCCCCACACAGACTCTGGCCTGGCTGTTCGCAGGTGAGTCTGCTGCCACCTCACTCTGGGCCCAGTGCAGGTCACCCGCCCCTTCTCTCTGGTTGTTTGAAAGATGCTTTTGCCTTTGTCTTTGGTGGTCTGAAGTCCCACCGTGATGTCCTAGGGTGCTTCCTCACAAGGAAGTTTCATGCCTTAAAATGATTCTGGAAAATTCTTAGCCACTGTCTAGTCTCCCCTCTTCCATGCTGCCCTTCCTTTCTAGAACTCGTCTTGCCTTCGGTCCTGCTCACCCTCCATGTTTCTCTGACGCTCACCCTGTTCTCCATTGCTCTGCGCAGCCCGCTGGACCATGTCCAGCTCCCCGATTCTCCTTCCAGTGGTGTTTCGTCTGCAGTTTGAGCTGGCCACTGAGCTTCTTATCTCGATGACTTGCCTTTTGCTCCCTACAAGATTTTTTTTCACTGTGTTCCGTTCTTTTTTGGTTGTTCCTATTCCCTCTTTTACCTTTTCAAAGATCTCTTTAAACATAGCAATTCTATGTCCACAATAGCCAAACTGTGGAAAGAGCCAAGATGTCCATCGACAGATGACTGGATAAAGAAGATGTGGTATATATATACAATGGAATATTATGC